CATATCAAAAGGATTTATTAACTGACACTGAGGGAAGAAAAAAAATCCATTTTATTTGCACCTAATACTTTTTCTTTTGCATCATCTCTCTGCATCTGGTTTTAGAGAAGGCTCCTCCAGCAGCAAGGTAGGGAGCAAACCAGCTTTGCAGCGACTGAGGGATGGCTCATACTAAGGACATTAAAACCTTCCTGAGGAGATGTAGCATCAGCTGCATTCAGAGTTTTGCATCTCCCTGACATGGAAATGCCACACTTTCCCACTGGGAAATCCTGAGCAGGAGAGTCTGATATCCCCAGCACCACCCTGGGCACTCTGATGGCAGGAGAGGAGACGTTGCCAGCAATCACCTTCTGCTGCAAATATGTCTTTGCAGGGTAATTTCTGAGTCATCAATTGCTTTTATTGTTGCACACAGTCCTAAGGACCCAGTGTGTAAATGTGCCAGAGGTAGTGGCACCTGTGGGCAGTCCAAGTGGTGTCTGTTCCCCTTTGCTACTCCCTGAATTTCCCAGAAAAAAAACTGCAGCCAAAGAACCTAAAATGTAAGATGTTTAGATTTTCAGCAGAAATTTTAAAGAAGTGTCTCCTCCCAACCCTCACCCTTGTCAGGATGGACCACCCTTGGAATTGTCCCTATGGCAGGGACCATGCTGGCCATGCAGCCTCATTGGCTGGTACAAAGCTCCAGCAGCCACGAGCTCTGGGAAACAAACATGGAATTTCTGCAGCTCCTCCACAGCTCCAGGCACTGTCTCCACCTCGTGTCCTCATCCCTGGGGCACAGCACGGACTCAGGGCAGGGCAGCCTGCAGTGGTGTGGGACATGATGGCTCCTGATGGAGCTCAGCTGGGCACTGGAGCAGTGCTCAGGATGGGGGACACAAGAGAATTATTTGGTGACTTTGCAGCCCAGGAGATGATAACACACCACCACAATATGCTGCCTCCCTTCCACCCAAAACCCACAGGGCAGGGACAAGGACAAGGACAAAAGATCAGGGCATGTCCTGCTGCAACTTCAAGGGCACTTCTCTCAATTTTGATGTCAGAGCATTTTTGCCCCATCCAGTGATGAGTTTACAAAAAGAAGGAACAGATTGGTGCAGGAAGAGCTGAGCTGTGTAAGGATCTTTCCACACCTCCAGCCTTCCAGGAGTCGGCTGCTGCTTTGCTTGGGAATGTCATGTACCACCTCTGGGAGTCTGCAGTTGCACCTGCACTGATGCCCTGCTGGGAATGAAGGGAAATATCCCATGGCAGTCCAAAACATCAGTGAAGGAGCAGGAGAGCCTGGGACATCACCCCTGGAGCATCATCCCTGCCCTGCTGAAGTCCTGTGTCCTTCCAGCTCTGATTTCACCCTCAACACTTCAGCTCATCTGATTGTTGAACATCCAGTCTTTGCCAACTGGTTAAGCACAGAAGGAATTTCAGTCCTTGGCTCCATGATGGCACAAAGATGTCTGCTGTGGACAATTACAGCGTGGAAAGAGGAAGAAGGAAGGAAGGTCCCAAGGAGAGAAGATCCCAAGCACTACCCCAAACAAAGAAGACCTTTCCTGCAGAGCTCCAGCTCCAGGACATGCCCCTTTATCCAACCAGGAGAACTTGGAGGGAACGCAAACATTAGACACCATATGAAACAGAAACATTTATCTTAAAATATGGCAGAATTTTCACTTTCTGTGTTTTTTCTCCTCTGTTGGTGACCTTTGCTGTGCCCAAAGATTTGTACCGAGATTGAGGTGATGAATGGTGAATCACCACATGAAACACCAGCAAAGTGGGAACACTCACTGCAACACTCATACTCCCATGGCAGGGCTGCACCCAGCTCATCCTGTTGGCAGCAGAACTGCAGGATTTGGTGTTCCCATTGCTCAACTTCCTAAGAAAACCATCAGCATTAACAGAAAAGGAAGACGGGAGTCCTTGGCTGTGTCTTGTTCTTCCTGAGCTCCTCTTGCCCAGCAGGCAGCAAGGACAGCATGAAAGGAACAGCACATCTGGGCATGTCCTCAGGTTTCCCACATTTGCACTCCCAGGAAAATCAAGATACTTGAACAACTGTAGGAGCAGAAGAGAGGCCACCAGGAAATTTATTCCTGTTTGTCTGCAAGCCAACAGATGAAGGTTGTCAGGGCAGAGTCGTTGTGCAATGTAATGGAAGCTTTCCACCATCAAAATATCCCCTCACCATGGAAGCACTCCAGCACCTGTTTACCACCACCACAGGAACATCACACCACCAGACCTCCCCACTACGGGGGTGTCCTACCACCACCACAGCTTTGTAGGGTGCTCTTGTTCTTCCAGACTGAGCTCAGACCACAGAAATTAGGTGCTGCCAACCCAAGCAGGTGTTCCTCAGGCTCCCCAAAGACCCATTTGGACACACTTTCCGCCCTTTTAGCCCAAAATAGGCTTTGCAATGCATGTGCTGCTGCCCTGAGACAGCCATGATTGGAGGGGAGGGAAGGAGTCTGTACCTGCTGAAAACACAGGGAAATTTTTCATTTTAAAGCCATTTAATAGATGAAAGTTTTCTTAAAATAAGTCACTTTCAAACAGAAAAAACCCCAAACCCACAAAGTTTCTCTTAAAAATACCTCAGAAAGAAGAAGTTGGACAAAAACTGTATGACCAAGACCTAAGGGGTGCCTGGCAAGTTCTCTAAACTGCAGAGAGAGAATTATGAAAAAAAAAAAAAAAAACAAAAAAACATGATGAAAAGAAAATGAGTTAGAAAGGGAATTGTGTGGAGCTGAAGCACAGAAGAAGGAAAAGCCAGACAAGGCCATGCTGTGTCATCAGTCTGGAAATCAGATGAGGAAGATGAAATCCAGCTCGCCCCCTCCACTCGGCCCCTCCCGGGAAACCACGAGTGCAGGGGGAGCCTGAAAGAGCTCCAGGCCCACAGGGCTGCTGCTGACACAAGGAGCCACAAGGTTCCAGGAGCAAACCAGTTCCATTCCTACCTTTAGCAGTATGAGTAAATAATTGATGTCTGAGGTAACCTGAGCAGGAAGGTGAGCAGAGCCCTGCACATGATCCTGCATCCAACTTCAAAGCCTGGTGGGTTTTCTTCCTGCAAAACCTCCTCAGACATGATCCTTGATGTTGATTCCATCCCTAAGCCATCTTTCACCTGCTGTTCCCATGCTGGGCCCATCCCAGTCTGTTCCCACTGGTCCCACTTCTACCCTTGCTTCTGCCTCAGTTTCCCTTCCTCTCCTGCAGTAGGTCTGGACAGCTCTGCTTCACTGGTACTTTCCATCCCTGGTCATGGAGCACAGCCAAGCTGTCCCCATCTCCCTCTGCTGCCATCCCTCTTCACTTCCCCATGCCTTGTCCAGGCGTATCCCCAGCTGCTCCAAGCACATCCTTTCCCCAAATCACCAGCTTTTTCCACCAAAGCACTCCTGCCACCCCTCCAGCTTGGCTGCCACCTTTCCTTTGTGCAGGACACCAATCCATCACCTACAATCTGAGTGAAGGGCCCCATCCAGATACTCTGGATGCTGCTGAGGAGCAAATTCTGTCTGCTTTTCAACATATCAGTGCCTCTTCCCAGGAGCCACCTGCAGGGACAGACCCTGTCCACACCTGGGGTCCCTGAGTGCCACCAGAGCAGAACCCCGTGGGGTGACTGGCCAAAGAGCCACTCCATGTCCCCTCCAGCCAGTGAAGACACAGGCTATGCGTGCTCAGGATGGTTCCAAGGACAGGGTGGCACTGTCCTGGGCATGATGCCCGCCTGTGGCTGGGCTTGGAGACCCAGCAGCTCAGGCCAGCGGGTGAATGTTCCCCAGCTCCGCTGGCGGGGAGGCCAGGCTGAGCGGACATTGCTGGGCTGGAGCAACCCGGGTGCCACCGCACCCTGATGTCCCCGGGTGCTCTTCTAAGGCCAGGATTCAGCCCCAGCCACGGGGCCCGGGGGGTCCCCATCCCTGTCCCCCCATTGCGACCCACGGCCCTCCCGGGAGGGTGGGGCCAGCCCGGCCCCGACCGTCAATCTCCACCCATCTGGCCAGCCCTGCCCACTGGAGCCAGCCCAGCCCGCCCGGCGCGGACGCGCCCACCCGCCCAAGCACCGCCACTTGTGCCAGCACCAACCTGCTGGGCAACGGGAGCTGTATCCGCCCCGGCTCACATGGCTGACTGCGCCCACCCTGGCTAACCCCGCCCGCCCGGCACGGCCGCGCCCCGCTGTACCCACCCCAGGTACCCGGCGGACCGTTCCCATCGCACCGCGCCGCAGCCTGGCCCGGCCCCCTCAGCTGCCACCTTCGGTTCCTCGCCGCTCGCATCCCCCGCCCCGCCCTGTCCTGCCCGCACCTGGGCGCGCTCGAAGCTCTCCCGCTCCGCCTCCAGGCCGCCGCCGCCCGCCCGCCGGCTCAGCACCTTGGGCAGCGGGTTGGACACCTGCTTCATAGTGCTGCTCACGCGGTCCATGGCTGCCCCGGGCCCGCCACCGCCCCGGCCCCGCCGTCCCGCGCAGCGCCGCCGCCGCGCGGGCCCCGCGCCATTGGCCCGCCCACCTGCCACTCACGCTGGGGCACGCCCCGTGGGCGCCACCCTTCCACCCGCAGCTCCGCCCGCTGGTGCGATTTCTCGCTCTCATTGGTTCCCGGCGTCGCCCCTGGGGAGGAGCAGCCGGGAGGCCCAGCCCCTGCGTGGCAACCGCCAAGCTCATTGGTTCATCTGGACGCCAGTCAACGCTAGCTCCCGTCCCCCAAGAGTCCCCTGCCCATTGCTCCGCCTTAAGGGGCCGCGCTCTTAGCACCGCCCACCCAGGCTCTGCGGCCACGCCTTCGCGTGGTCCCCTGCTGTAATTGGCTCAGGGCCCTGCCGCTCAGATGTCGGTGTCCCGCCCCGCCCCTCACCGGAGCGGGGCGCGGCGCCCCCTGGCGGCGATGGCGATGCCGCTGATGCCGGGCCCTCGGGGAGATCGGGCCGCGCTCGGGGCTCGCCGGGAAGGGCTCGGCCGTGTACGGGGCACCGCCGCGGGGTCCGCCGGGCCCGGGGCGCCGCTGTCCAACGGCTCTGAGCCGCGGCTGAGCCATTCGGGTCCGCAGGCCGCGGGGGTCCTTACAGGTTGTCCGTGCGGCCTGCGAGTCTGCGGCCCCTCAGCCGAGGCCAGAGTGTGACCACGGGGGTGACCCGGCACCGCTGTCCCCTCCTTGCTGCCCGTCTCAGGTGCAGCCCGGCCCCTCTCGGAGCTGAGCCCCCGGGCAGTGGCACTCGGGGTGTTCGTGGCTTCCCAGCCCTGCCTGGGGCCGGCGGTGGGGAGGCGGCTCTGTCAGCGCGAGCAGGGCCCCGGCAGCCTGCGGAAGGGCTGTGTGAGGCGTTGCCTTGGTGGAACCGGGCTGGGGGTGGGAGCTCTGGAGGGGGGTGCTGCAGGCACAGCTGGCAGAGCCCAGCAGGAAGAGTGTAGCATTGACAGAGGGGCAAAATGAGGTTGCAGGTGTCTGAAAAAGAAGAGAGCAGAGGTGACAGAAGGATTTTGCTTCCCCTGAACAGCTGGACTGTGTTTTATTATAACCTGATCTGAGCCTGTGTCTCTGGTGCTGTCACTTGGATCAGAGATTTTTGTAGAATTAGATTGGATATTGGGAAGGAGTTCTTGGCTGTAAGGGTGGTTGAAGACCTGGCACAGGTTGCCCAGAGAAGCTGTGGCTGCCCCATCCCTGAAGTTATTCAGGCCACATTGCACGGGGCTTGGAGCAAGCTGGTGTAGTAGACGGTGTGCCCATGGCAGCGGGTGGAACAGGATTGTTGGAAACGATACAACTTCTAAGTTTTTGAACTAGCTTTTTTTTTTTTTTAATCAGGGGTTTTGTTCATCTTTGCCCAGGAAGGAAATGGAAGTTTCTTTTCAAGAGACTGTTCCCTGGGCAAGACCTGATGAGCTTAACATCTCGAGGGACTGGGAGCCACCAGAGGATGCACAAGAGGTAAGCAACTATTAATGAACATCCACACCTGAACATCCTTCCTTGGTGTGTTGGAGACACTTGGTCTGGAAAAAGATCATAAGAGAAGAAAGAGGACTTGATTAGCAGCTAAGGTGAAGGGATCAATAACCAATAGGAAACCAAATTCTAAGAACTGTGTAACTTGGGACCAATAAACATTGAACCAGTTCATCTCTCTGAGTTTTGACTGTATAAGTATGTGAAAAGTCTAGAAAAGAGACGTGTGATGGAAATATTTTCTTTGCACAACCCAGTGTGTGGATGAAATTACTTCTGTTGCACAATCTGGCCAGAATATCATCCTGGCCAGAATAAAATAATGCTTGAGTTCTCTAACATTAAAATTTGTTGGAAAGGTTGTGTTTTTCCTGCTGTTTCAGTGACAGGATGAGCTTTACGTTTCTTCCAACCCAATTCTGGGATTCTCTCAACCTGGTGAATTGATGACTCCTGTAATTTTGACCAGGACTACCATCCTATTCCAGAGGCGAATTTCTCACTTGGAACATTTCTGCAATACTGGGAGAAATTACTTTTTTTTTTTTTTTTTGTGAAGGGACTGAAAACTGAATCCCCAGGTACGGCAAATGGGCTGTGCTGGGGTTGTGCCAGCTGGGTTCCTGCATCCTTAAAAGCAGATCATAACAAATCAATGACTTTGCTCCAGGTGGGGAGGAGCTGTGCTGGGATGATGGGGCAATCTGGAAACAGCTTTTTAGCATGTAGGCTGTCAGGAGCTCTTGTATAAGCAATTCTCCCAGCATATCTCTCTATTGTGGCTTTTCAGCTGAAATAATTGCCACACCAGGACCTTCCTGGAGCTGCCCAGCAGGGTATGCGACAGGCTGTTTGCATCACAGGCCTTCCCAGTCCCTGTGCATTGGATATCAAATCCCAGCTGATGGGAAATGGCCTGCATAGAGCAGCAAGGCCATTCCTCCCACTGTGGCTTGTCTCGACTGCCTGTCTGCATTGTCCTTAATGTACTTTCTGGAAACCTGCCTCCTTCCTTGGGGCTGCTCCCAGGGGAGGTTTAATGGGTTTGATTCATCCACTGTTGCAGCAAGATGATTAATAATTGAAGAAATTATGTCATTCCTGAATAGAGATGGATGAAAGGAAGAGCAAAGGAGAGCACTGGACAAAGGACAGCGGTATCCTTGTTGACCTCTGCCACTCTCCACCTCGCTCAGAACATCCTGCTCCTGGAACCCATGGCAAGGGACCACTAGGCTGAGGCCTGGTGTAGCTATGCCCTCCTGCTGAAGAGCAGAGCCACAACCTCTTTTTCCCTAGCCAGGGGTCAGTGCTCACTCTGGGACCTGGGCAGGAGCAGAGGATGGTGCTTGAATATGGGACAGAACAGGCTGATTCTACTGGCTGCTCCTGCCTCCCCCAGGAATGGGCTGTAACAGGATGGAACTGGGATCCAGCCCATGAGCGGCTGGTCAGACCACCCTGGGCTGGCCCATTCATGCAGCATCTCTGCTGGAACGTGCTGTGGGGCTTTGCAGGGATTTGAGAGGCTCCTTTCCAGTGGGAGAGGATGCCTTGTTTTCAGGTAGCTGAGAGGGGGAGGCACAGAGCTGTTCTTGTGAAGCGTCTGTTCCCCTGTCTCAGGTTCCACGGTGAGATAATGGGGAAGGGCTGAAACTGAACAGGGTATGGAGGTAGAGCAGGTTGAGCTCTTCCTCCCCAGCAGGTCCTTTTTGGAAGCCATGGCTGGGGTTCACCTGCTCTGAATGCTCTGTCCTCACTCCTGTCCAAGAGGCTGGACTGAAGGGTGATGGCAGAGCCCTTCATAGGAGTGTCTGACCTGTATGGGGACAGACATTGTCTGGACATGGAGAGGACAATGTGTGCCCTCTCTTCTTTTTTGCTGAGCAGTATGTGGCACCCATCAAGTGCTGCACAGGCCAGGCAGGTGGGACTGGAGCTCATCCTTCCCCTGTTGCAGGGTTCTGTAGGGCAGTTTCCTTTTCCTGCCCCATGCCCAGAGGCTCCTGTCCACAGGACCCAAAGGGTCTGCTCCCATTCTGTCAGGACATCCTTAACCCAAAGGGGAAGGACGAGTGGCAGGAGAGGGGCCAGAAGGGACTGCAGGGGCTATGGGCCCTGTCCGGGGCTCATGGATGCTCCTTTTGCAGGGGCTGGGAGCTGGAGTTTGTTTTTACAATTCCCTCCCCAGCCAGAGCTGGAGAGTCCCAGGGTGCTGCTGCAACACACATCATCCTCCTGTGGCCTGGCCTGGGCTTAGGGAGAGCACAGATCCTCCTTGTTTCAAGAGGAAAACAGAATCACAGAGCTCCACAGTCCTTCCTCTGTTATCTTGCTGGCTGTGCCAGAGTGGGCTGTGCTAAGATCCTGCTGTTTCACCCTTGGAGGTGGGAAAAATGGATCCCCTTCAGTAGGCCCTTTACACATTCCAAGGCACACCATCCTGATCACACCCAAGCAGAGGAGCAATTCCTGGGGCCGTGTCTTGAAAGGGCAGTGGCTATGTCAGGCCTTCCATAAACCAAATCCTGCAGCCCCAGATGCAGCTCTGCCCTGGTGATGGGATAATTTTCTGGACTCTGGGATAAAAACTTGTGAGCCAAAGTATCCAGCTGGAAAGGGCAGGGTAGTGGCCCAGACCCAGCAGGAGGGTCCTTGGGAAGCAAAGATTGTGCCAGGAGGAGCAGGCATGGGAGCATGGGGAGAATTTTCATCTTTTGATCCCATGTTTTGAATGCTTTGGCAAACAGATGTTGCTGCTGAGTCCTTTGCTTGTGCTCCCAAAGAGACCCTGGACTGCTATGTGGGGCAGGGACAGTCTTGGTGCAGGACCTGGGAGAGCATTGGAGAGCATTGGAGTCTTGGGAGAGCATTGCAGGTGAACAGTCTGGGACTGGGAGAGGGTCTTGGAGAGGACTGCTTGGCTAAGGTGCTTGAGGTCCAGTGGGGCCCTCACCTCTGTCCTCTCTAGGTTTCCTACTTGCCCAGGTGTTACAAGGAGGGCTGTAACCCCAGAACATCATCTGCTGTGTTTTTTGCACAGAAGCCTCAGCAACTGCCTCTGCTTGCCTAAGAATTCAAAAGCAAAGCTGAAGAGGTTTCCAGTTGGATCTACAGGAGAAGACCTGAACTCCACTGGGACACTGGGCTGCAGGCGCAAATGCCTAGGTGAGAAACCAGCTCATGAGCAGGACCTGGAGGTGGGAAGTGTTTTTGCCACTTGCTGCACAGCGTCCCCTTGGCATGGCCAGCAGGTCCAGCTGGAGCACTGTCGAAGAAAGGGGACCAGGACACCATATGGTTCATCACAGGCCCTCAGGTCCGCTCCCAGTCCCTCAAGTCCTTCAGGTCCAGTTTATTGAAGAAAGTATCAAACACTTATACAGCAAATAATAAGCTTATGAATATTCTGTAAGCCAAGCAATCTATTGGTTAAACTATACCATGAACTCTTCCTCATTCCTTAGGGGTTACATCTCTCTTTTCTCATGTCTCTTTCACTGTTTGTTATCCTACTACAGCTAGGCCCCAAGAACACGCTATCTAGCAGGTGCAGGACTTGGAATTAGCCATGGTTTTGTACTTTTCCAGTCCTTAGCCAGCCAAACTCCCAACAGAGCACCCCACCAAGCCCAGGTCTCTTCCAAGGCAGGACATGGCAAGCCTGATTTCACAGAATCAATTGGTTGGAAAAGATCTCTGAGATCATCAAGTCCAACCTATGACTGATCACCACCATGTCGATTAGACCATGGCACTGAGTGTCACATCCAGTCATCTCCAGGGATGATGACTCCACCACCTCCCTGGGCAGCCCATTCCAATGTCTGATAACCCTTTCTGTGAATAAATTCTTCCTAATTCTTCCTTTATTTCTGTATTGGGAGCTTTGGCTGCCAGAGTTGGATTACTGAGGAAAGGATTTCTGTGTGAGACTTGGGGTGTGCAGAGTTGAGTGTGGGAGCTGTTTGCTCATTGCAGAGCAGTCTTGGGAGAGCACAAGGCAGGTACTGCAGCAGGGCATGAGCATGAATGTGGAGAGCCAGTATAACCCTGTCTTCCCTTTATGATACAGGAAACATTCTGGCTCCCTACAACTCCCTGGCAGGAGGGTGGAGCCAGGTGGGGGTCAGGCTCTGCTCCTAGGGAACGAGTGATATGACAAGGGGAAACACCTCAAGTTGAACCAAAGGAGGTTCAGATTGGATATTAAGGAAAATTTTTTCACTGAAAGAGTGGTTGAGCATTGGAATGGGCGGCCCAGGGCAGTGGTGGAGTCACCATCCCTGGAGGGATTTAACAGAAATAGAGATGTGATGCTTAGGGCTACAGTTAGTGGTGGCCTTGGCAGTGCTGTACTCAATGATGTTAGAGGTCTTTTCCAGCCTGAATGACTCCATGATTTCTATGTTTTTCCATGATCCAACATCGACCAGTACTCTTGTCAAATGTTGTTCTCAGGATTCCTGCAACTCTATGGCCTTACTTGCAGATGTCCCCTGTACCTCCAGCTGCTGACAACAGGCGGCAGAGTGTGCAAGGACAATGCAGCTGTCACTCTGGTACTCGGCAGCCTCAGGTGCTACCCGTCTCAAACCCAACACCAAATGGTTTTCTTTTCCTTTCTCTGAACTGTGGCTAAACCTGTCATGCTGTGCTGCAGCTGCTGGACAAGTCCTGATCTGCTCCAGGCCAGTTGCTGCTCAGTACTGAGGACATTGTTGGGGAAACAAAGGAGTTGTGGCAGAGGCATCATTTGGCTGTCCTAGGAAGTACCACCACATTTCTGTGAGGGCCACATTCCAACATGGCATCCAGCCACATCCTGCTCTTTTAGACTCCTGGTCACAAAGTGAAGCTTTTATAGGTGCCCTAAGTTTGTCTTGGAAAATTGCATGGACTGCAGCAATTTATTTCTGCCTTGCTGTGTGCTTAGAAACTATTGGAGTCTTTCTGCTGACATTTATCAAAAACATTTCTATGGAGGCACATCCTGGTGTGCCTGTAGATTTCAGTCCAGGGATTTCAATGCAATTTCGTAAGCTGCTCTGTAGCCCTGATGGTTTTGTTGGACCAATGGTCCTGGAGAATCAAAGAACAGTCACAGAGGATGTAGACTAAGGATCCATCTACATCAGCCTTGATACCTCTAGATGTGGTCACAGCAGACCCCTTGAAGAGACAGATCAATATTTGTATTGCACCCTGGAGTGTGCTCCCAGCTTCCAACCATTCTCATTTTCCAAATCTTCTCAAGCTTATCACCCTGGAATCCAAGCTCAGACTCAAGAAAATTTCCTTGTCCTCACCATGTCCCTTGGCAAGGAGCTCCTCATGTGAAGAGCTGCCTCCTTCTGTTCCTTTTGAACCTTCCTCTTGCCCACTCCATTGAATAATCCGTGGCTCCTGCTCTGGGGCAGTGAGTATTCACGTTGTCTCTCTTTCTAGGCCACTTATCATCTTGCAGACTTCAATTCAATGTGGAAAGTCTCAATTCTTCTTGAAAATACTTCTTCTCATCTGAGATCTTGCTTGGAGCTGCACCACCCTGGGATCAATGGCCCCAGGCATTTTCTTTCTGTTTCCAACTGGTTTGCTCACAGTTAAACCCAGTTTCCCACATTAGTGATCCAGCAGCTCCCAGGAGCACTGTGACAAAGTGATCCCCCAGACATGGTCCAGCCAGGAGGTGGTGTGGTGGAGCAGGCTACCCTCAGGGTTGAGCAGAGGTTTCCTCCCACATCCCCAGCCTGTCCTGGTGATGGATCCAAAGATACTGTGTTTGGTTTCTATCTATAGCTGAAGCACACCATAAGGCGGAGGTTTTATAGACTCCATAAATAGCCACTATTTAGGATGAATAGTATGGAGGAGGTTTTAGAAATCAAAATATTTAGAGGTTTGCATTATTTGTCTTGGTAGGAAGGAGCAAGAATACAGAATCAGAAGGAACAAAGTTGAGGAAAACAGTGAATAGGGGAAATAACAGAGGTGTCGAAACCTCCAAAAATTCCTTTTGGTTGAATGGAAGCAGGAAATACAGCAAGGTGTATCTGAAAGGAGAGAGAATTCATTGACAATGTTGAGGCACAATGGTTATATTCCTGCTATAAAATACTGATTTTTCAAAACAAATCTTGACATTTCGATCAAACCTGTAGCTGAATGTTGTGGAACATCCTGAACACTCAACTAAAGCTGCTCTGAGCTGGGCTGTGTTTGTGTGAGCCATCAGCGAGGAGGCTCCAGCTCATTCCTCAGTCTGTTCTCCTCCTCTCAGTTTTATTCTGGTCCCTGTGTGGAGATGTGTCAGAACGGTGTAGGGTTGGTCTCAATGGGAATTTGTGCAAGTTTGTTTCTGAATGTATTGGCAGAAATGGAAAGAGCAGGGGATGGAAGGAGTAGATGTTGGTGACACCTGATCTTGGAGGACTTTTCCAACATTAATTATGCTGTGGTTCTGTGATTCTGTGACTCACACTGAGCAGTTTATTAGCACTGCTCAGAGAAGACTGTGACAGGTTTAGAGGTTGCCACTGACAGTAACTGACCGCAAAAATGTTGGAGTCTCTTGACCTCCCTCCCCACTTCAGCCATATTTATAATATTTTCTTGGGAAAAGATAAAAGTTACAGTTGATGTCATTTACAGATTCGGTGGAATTTGATTAAATTTAGTTAGTAGCATAAATAGAGGTGAGAAACATAATATGTATTTCTGAGTTAAGCAAAGTTCAGCTTTTGATTTCTATCTAGATCATTCCTTTGACTTAGTTTTCATTAGCTGCATTGTTTTCCATGGAGTCTATCCACAGCACTGCTGTGTCACTCCATCTTTTGTTTTATATTTGCTTTGATTTCAACAGAGAATTACTGCAGTGCCTCTGTGTTGCTCCATCCTTTGTTCCATGTGTCCCTTGGAGTGGCACACCAAGCTCCATCAGCATTCCTGCTTCTAAGGTATGCTGGCAGTTTGTCCCTGTCCTTGCACTCTTTATTGCTTAGCTTTGGCTTTCGGTCTCCTCACACCTTTCTTTTCCCACTCTGTGCAGTGTGGGGGAGAGTGGATCCATGATGGTGGTAGGACTTCAGGCCCTTGGAGGTACCAGGTTTCATCCCAGTATCTGAATGGGCTTTGGAACAGAGATCAAGGCAAGTCATGGAGCAGGAAGGATCCCAGAAGAATCCTGCGTTCGTCAGCTGTTTGGAGCAGGATATTCTGAGTCTTCTTCACAAGTAAAACCTCAGCCGTGATTCTCACTGTCTCAACTGACTCTCATTCTGGGAGTTTGGCCCCTTAGGAGCTGGGATGAAAGCAAGCAATCCATGGAGAAAGAGCTTCAGAGAAGAGAACAGATGTGCCCAAGCTGGGGACTGGGCTGTGATGGCTGCAGAGAATCCATGGGCTGTATGGAGCCTGCCTGCCTGCCTGCCTGCCTGCCGTGGGAAGGGGCAGGTATGTCTCTGCTAAGGAAGTGTCTTTCCAGGAACCCAGCAACATGCCCTGTGCTCCCAGGGCTCAGTGGGCAGGTCCTCCTCAGCTGCCCACTCTCCAGGCTTGTAGCTGCATCTCCCTAGCACCAAGGCATCATGTGTGGTGTCACCCAGGCTCAGTTTTGTTCATGCTTAGTACAGGGTGTTGTAGTGAGAGAAAAAGCTTTGTGTAAAACAAACCCTGCCATGGCACAGCACCCTGCACCCTCCAATGAGTGTGCCTCACTTTTCCATGGAGTTCAGTCTCCTGAGATGTGCTGATTATCTATCACATGCCCTGGAGCACTTGGGAGCCCCAGGCCTGCAATCCACCCTTCCAGGCAATATCTTAATTTGCCTTTGATTTCCTCTTCTGGCTTCCTACAAGGAAACCCACTTTGGGTGGGGGATTCTATTTTGTGATCATCCTCCTCCATAGAGGAGCAAGACCCCTTTTGTTACTGGACCATGAGGAAAGGCAGTCTGCTCCTGTGGCTTTCCCATTGTGGTTGTGGTTGCCCAGCACCCAGACACATTTCCTAGCACTGTGGAGACTTCGCTCTTCCTCCACTTTCTTGAGGCTTTGTCCACAAACCTTTGTCTGGAAAACAGCAGAGCCCTTCTGGAGGGATGTAACATTTCCAACATTTCAGTTTTTCTGACAGTGCAGAGACACCATTCCCATCCTAAGCAACATATGCTAAATCAACCAGTCTTTTCTCTGTGCTTGTTTGGCAGCTGGGACAATGACAGAGCAGAGTCAGGAGGATGCTAGTGCTACACTGCTGGAATCAAATAACCATCTTTGTCAGCTTTGCTTTGCTAACATAGTCATCAGCTCCTAAAGTTCACTGTGGGCATCAGTGGCCAATTCCCATGTCCATGAAGAACTGAATACAATTTTAGCTGTCACTAGTATTTGAGAAGTTGTGATGTAGCAGAACTGGTTCCCCAAAGACTTGTTGCAAGGGATGCTCAAGGACATAAGAGGAGCCCAGATCTGGAATTGCACCATGCTCCACCCTCTGCTCAGCACATTTATGCACCAATGGCCTTTAGAGTCCCACGGAGGAAGCCCCCAGTGCAAGTGGGACCCAGCATGGCTGGGTGGGCACATGGGTGGTCAGCCTGACTCTCAGACTTTCCCCGCTCTAGTTGCTATGGCAGAGGTGAGATCTCCTGTTTGTCCATGATGCAGATGTTCTGGGAAACAAGGGCGTGACAACCATGGTTGACCTTCATCCACTGCTGTGACTTCTAGGCAAGAGGTCCACCTACTGATCTTCCAAATTACCAATTCTACGTTTTCTGCAGAACCCTTAGGTCACGGGAAATGAAATGACAGGTCATATCCTGTTCTGTGTCCACCCATGGTATCTGATGGTATCGTACCCTATGCCGTGTCAGGACACTGCTGTCATCAGGGCTCTGGACGGTTTCCTCTGCAAGGCTGTGTGGTATCCTTGACACTGCACTTTTTCCATTGTGTCATGGATTTCAGCAATGTTTCCATCCTTGGTTGCTGTCTGCCTATATAAAGAGGGCAGAACCCAGGGATCCCACACCAGGAACAGTGAGGGACACTCTGCGACAGTCCAGCCTCACTCCTACAATTCACCTCTACCCAAGAGGACCATGAAGACCTTCACAGCAGCCCTTTCTGTACTTTTTGTGGTTGTCTTCTGCCACCAGGCCACCTCCTCTCCAAGCGAGTCCAATCTCTCCAAGGAACTGTCTCCTCTTTCTGTCTGCTGTATAAGGTCTAGTAATGCTTGGCAGCTCTCTCTTACTAGCATCTGCTGTAGGAAAAGAGAAGCCTGTCTTACCTTGGCTCCCTGATGGAAGATGGCTATGGTGGGAGCCCACTGTGGGAACAGCACTTCCTCCAGTGAGAATCTTCTCATCTTCTCACCCTACTTCTCCCCACTGGCACTTTTCCTGGTCTGATGTAACAGAAAACTTCTCTTCCAGTTTCTCTCCACTCTGGTCCCTGCTGTGTTGAGTACAACCCCGGACCATTGCCCTTGAGCCGTGTGAAGAATTATGTGCCCACGGGCAGCCACTGCTCCCAGCCAGCTGTGATGTAAGTACATCTTCTGCCCTGCTTGTCCTGACAGTGTAGGGGAACCCCATATCATACTTCATCCTGACATGGAAAAGCACATGGGCAAGGCTCTCCCATGTGCGAACAGCCTGGGAACATGTCAGAGGGCAATCCCACATCCTAGACAGCGAGTTTGTGAACCTCCTTATTAGATTTGAGCTAATAGAGCTTTTGCTGGTCACCCCCCTCACCCCAGATAGGGGGACCCAGCCAGGACGGTGTCCCAGATGTAGAGATGTTGGGGACAAAGCAGTTTAAGTGCAGAGAGCAGGACACCTGTAAGGACATGGAGTCACTCCCACCCCATTTCCCTAGGGCTGTTTTGCAGCCTGTAGAGGTGTCTGGTGGGTGTCACTGTTGGCGTGGAGCAGGTGTTCTCACTCTTCTCTCTGTCTTCCTTTCCTTTGCCTCTCCTCACTGGATTTCCTTTTCCAGATTTACCACCATCAAGAACAAGCTGGTCTGTGCCAACCCTAATGACAAGTGGGTCAAGGACATAATGAATCAATTAAAGGACAATAGGCACAGTGGATAAGCAATACCCTGCTCTCTCCAAGCACCACTTCTGCAGGAATGTGCTCTCATGGACACCTCCAAGACATAATCTATTTTCTCATTGCCTGGGAATTTGGCAGGGTATTCAACTCAGTGTTTAGCTCTTTTACGGAAGGCTGTGCAATGCTGGTCTTAATTTATTTGACATATTCAGTGAAACTTTTCATTCTCCATTGTACTGAAGGTGTTGAAGTTATTTTTGTATAATAAAAAGGAGCAAAACTTGCAACTTCTCCCAGTGGTTCTTGGGATGCTCCACAGAGACTGGGGTGTGTAGCAATGGTTGGAAGGGGGTCAGGGCTGACACTCGAGGGTCTGTGGATGATGGGGTGACACCTGGCTGTCCCCCAGCCTCTCTGTGCATGCAAGGGAGAGCACTTCTCATCCTGCCTGTCCCGCCTGCCTCCTTGCCGCGGCACATTTCCAAACTCCTGGCTCTTTGCAGTGGGTGGGTATCACGGGGGATGTTTTGGCACAATTGTTGGTGGGGCGAGGGGTCCTTTACCTCGGCCAACATCTCTGGTCAGCGGGCAGGTGCCTCACGGGCTCCACGGGCTGCTGAGCTCAGCCATCACCAGACCCAACCCCATCTCCACCACCGTCCCGGCCCGGGGCTGTCTCTGGCCACGGGTTAGTTCTGGTGCTTCCAAATGTGTCCCGCTCTCCCCGCGGGGTTTATCTCCGGCTTTGCCCCGCCGGGCTGGAGGCAGTCCCAGCCTTTGGGGCTGGCTGCAGCTGTCCCGGCCGGTGCCAGCTCCTCCCCCCGGCAGCACGGAGGCTCCGGGGCCGGTACTATCCGGTAGCGAGGCCGGCTCGTCCTGCAGGCTTTCATGGCACTGCCCGTTCTTCCTCGCCGTGGGGCTGTGCCAGCCATGCCTGCCTGGGAGCCCGCCGTTGCTGGCTGACGAGGGCCGAGGGAAGCGCCCGTGGAGACCAGCGGGCCACCATGGCGCTGGCAGGTGCTCTGGAGCGGCTGCAGGAGGAGGCCATCTGCCCCATCTGCCTGGAGTACATGAGCGAGCCGGTCAGCATCGACTGCGGCCACAACTTCTGCCGAGGCTGCATCGCCAAGCACTGCCAGGACAAGGGGCTGTGGGCCGACGGGCCCTTCTCCTGCCCGCAGTGCCGGGCCTCCTGCCACCGCAGCGGCTTCCGACCCAACCGGCAGCTGGCCAACATCGTGGAGAGCATCCGCCAGCTGGGGCTGCGGGGCGGCCTGGGGCCCGAGCTGGAGCCGGGGACCCCCCTGTGCCCCCAGCACGACGAGCGGCTGAAGCTGTTCTGCGAGGAGGACGAGGAGCCCATCTGCGTGGTGTGTCGGGAGTCGCTGCAGCACCGCCCGCACACCGTGTACCCCATCGAGGAGGCGGCGCACGTCTACAAGGTACGGGAGGGTGAGGCGCCGGGTCCCTGCCCTGCCCGAGGCGCTCTGGCACGGGGCTGTGCGGCCACCGGGACCCCAGCAAGCTCAGTGGCATCGCTGGCAAAGCAGAAGGAGGGGTAGCGCAGACCGCTCTCCCCCCAGCCGCCCTTGCTGCAGGGATAAAGCTGGACCTGCCTTATCTTCCAAATTGTTGGTGGAGCCACGCTCACCCCGTCCATCCAGCTCAGGGATGCAGCCTGGCTCCCTGCCCATTCACAACCCCTGGAGAAGCTGAGCTGGTGGGTCCCAGAGGACATTTTGCCCTGGTGGAGGGATGCTGGCACCCAAATCCCACATCCCAGCTATGATGCTGACAGTGCCACCATCCACCCTTCACCCCAGCGCTGAAAGAGGGCTGTCGCTTTGTTCTCCAGAACCTTAATAGTGAGGAAAAACACAGGGGAAACCTGCGGAGCATGGGGAGGGTTAACACTGAGCTGAGTGAAGAGCACAGCTGCTTTGTTTGGGTGCCAGTGCCTGGCACTGCCTGGCACTGGGTCAGTGTCTCCCCCCGAGGCAGGGGAGACTCAGCCAACTTGCAGCACTCAGCAGGTGCTGTTGGGGTGAGTTGAGCCCATTTTTTCTCTTTCCAGGTCAAACTCCAGAAATCCCTGGAGAGTCTTTTAAAGGAAGTGGAGGAGGTGAAGAAGCATGAGTCAGCAGAAAGGATGAAAACCCAGGAGTGCAAGGCAGGTGCCTGTCTTAATTCTTAAAGAATGAGCTTCAGAGATATCAGGATTTAAGAAAAAAACACCCTGAATGATCTTGTCTGGGGATACAGATTTATCATTGTCTCCAGGCTGTGTTCTGCTGTCACATGTATGAGCAATGCTGGAAGCCAGGCTCAGTAGCCGTGTGCAGCTCTATAAAAAGATTTGCAAGGAGCAGCATGCCAGATTCCCTGGAATATTGAGAAACTTATACTGGTTAACAATTAGACATGGGCTATTTTTTATTGCCTTTTGTTTTACAATGTGCTTCAGTTTCAAGCCAGGCGTGAGCTGTGTGGTGAGCTCCACTTCACAGCAACAGGAACCAGAAGTGTTTTCATAAGAAAAAAAACCACTGAATTATTGCAGCTCTATCCCACTCCAGACAGTTCTGGGAAGAGCAGATGCCAGCAAACAGCTGGATTTCAAATCTCTTAGAGTGAAAGATGGAAAGTAAAAGTAAATGCAGAAAAGGAAATGAAACTGCTGGATGAGTTATCCAGCCCTGATTTTGAGCAGATGGTTAATCAGCTCTGGCAGGGAAGACAGGTTTCTCTGAATTCCCCTAGTTTTTCGCTCAGCTCCCTTGCCTGTGGCAGTCCAGACAAATGGTGGTGGGTTTCAAGGATGTTCCTATGAGCCCTCTGCCCGCACTGGGGGAGAAGGACAGAGACTGTGAGAGCTGTGTCACTGTCCTCCCATCTGCCTGAGTCAAGGCTCAGGGTCATGGCTCAGCTGCCTCCAGTTTGCTTTGGTTGTGCTTTTATAGCAAAAAGAGCCAAGATTCCCCTGTGAGTGGTAGGGGGAAGAAGCTGTCCTGGCTTATCAAGTCTTCATGACTCAGGTTCAAGTACTTGGATGGGGAAAAAAAAAAGAAGTTAAATTTCCTTTCCTTTATCTTCTTAATTCTGAGATTTCCTGACCCAAGCCCACTGCAGAGTGTCTTTCTGCAGCTCCAGGTTTCCAGCCAGCTTTTAGGGATGAGGTGAAAAGCCCTAAGGCACTGGCAGACCCTGCCAATTGCTGGTTCTTCACCTTGTAGTGAAACCTGGGGAGCCTCCTGGGCTCTGCCTTTCCATCTTCCACAGCTCCAGGGCTTCCTTTACATGGCAGATAGAGACAGGATATGAGGGAACTGTCTTAAACTAAGAAAGGAGAGATTTAGATTAGATATAAGGAAGAAATTCCTCCATGTGAGAGTGCTGAAGCCATGGCTTCTTGCCCAAAGAAGCTTTGACTGCCCCATTCCTGAAAATGTCAAAGGCCAGGCTGCACTGGGCTTGGAGCAACATGGTCTAGTGCAAGGTGTCCCTGCCCATGGCAGGGGGTGGAAGCAGATGGTCTTTAAGATCCCTTCCAACCGAAACCATTCCATGATTTTGTGACTGTTCTACCTCTTGCTCTTAACTGGGGATTTTCCCAGCATTGTCCACCTACCCAAGCAGTTTATTAGCCTGGATTTGGCTGGAGGTTTGAGCTGTAATAAAAACCTACCCTGACACCTGAGGGCACCTCCTTGCAGCCCAACACATCCCAGACCTCTGGGGTCCAGCTGAGCAGAAATGCCCCAGGCAAAGTCCTGCTGCTGGTAAACCAAGGATGCACTGCAGGAATTACAATGAGGTGGAAGCACAAGTTTGCCTCTGGCTGTTTTTGAATTCATGCACTTTTCACAAAAATGCAGTTTTATTTTCCCAGGGCCTGATGCTGGGCGTGGATGCTGGAGCATCTGGCTCTGTCTTGGCTGCCTGGATAACATTCATCCCATGAATCTTCTTATCCCAAGGAGACAGTAAAGAAAAAGCGGGAGAGGATTGTGAGTGAGTTTGGGAAGCTGCATCGGCTGCTGGCTGATGAGGAGAAGCTACTGCTCCAGAAGCTGGAGGAGGAAGAGAAGCAGATTCTGCTGCTGATCAATGAAAACTTGGCCAGGCTGGTGGAGGAGAAGTGCTTGCTGGAGGAGCTGATCCTGGAGATAAAAGGGAAGAGCCAGCAGCCAGCTGATGGGCTGCTCAAGGTTAGGCTTTGCCACCAGCACCACTAACTCAGCCCTGGTGCCTTTGTCACCTGGGTGGGTGGCTTGGCCCAGACAAACCCAGAGTCATTTTTGTCTTCTTCTAGGACATGAAAAGCATCCTGAGTAGGTGGGTGATTTTTCCTGATAGGTGCCATGATTATTCCTGGTAGGTACCATGATTGTTCCTGGCAGGTACCCATGGTTATTCTTGGCAGGTACCATGCCTGTTCCTCCTACTGTCCTGGATGCCTCCAGGCTTTGAGACAGATGTTTGCATGTGTTCCACAACAGCTACCCCATCCTCCCTGCCCAGCATCTGCTTTGGTCCTCCTGGGGTAGACGCAGGAGGGACTGAGACAATCCCTCAGAGGTTTTCCAGGGGCTCAGAGCCACAGCCTTGCATGGCTTGTGACATGTGAGCTGCATCCCCTCCTAAGGGATGTGCTGCCCAGTGGCTTTGTTCCTTCCTTCCCCAGGCCTGGCATTGCTGCTCCCTGTGTCGTTTAGTTCTGATCTCATTTGGATTGCCAATATGCAAGTAATTATCCCTAGTGCTCTTCCCAGCCAGAGCTCCAGGGAGGCAAAGGGCAACACAAGGGCATTGACCCCCTTCCCAGCTGGAGAGGGGCCATGGTGCAGGCTACGGATACAGCTCAAGGGCATCCCTCCCTTCTCAGGTGTGAAGGGGTAAAATTCCAGCCCCCCAAGGCTGTGTCTGTGACCCTGAAGGAAAACTACAGCATTCCTGAGCGCTGCCTGGGCATGAGGGACATGCTGAAGAAGTTCAAAGGTGAGGGGGCAGCTCCTGGCACATTTGGGTTCTGGTTTTCCCCGGTACCCTGGGGCACAGGGAGGTTTTTCCAATAAGCTTTGTCCAGCTGCTCCAGGTTTGTGCACTGATGAGTTCAGACTGGTTTCATGGTGGGAAGACCTTTGTTGTGGTCTTGAATGGATAGTGAGGGGACCCTCCCAGGATGTCCCTCGGGGGTTTCAAGCACCATGTTGCCCATGACGTCTTGCTTTCAGACCTCTTTCTGAAGCTGTGGAACTGCCCTCCTTGGCTTGGCTCTGCAGCCTGA